TTAACAGATTCTGTCATAAAATAATAATATATACTTCATATGCTCTCTATTTGAGTTAATGAAAACAAAACGAGATTCAATGAAGGCTATCATGCAATAAATCAGTTTGAGTCTTGCTCTACCTCCTCATATTAAATTTTCTAAATTGAATTCTCATGGGGATGGCCTAGTGATTGTGGCAAGGAACTTTGAGGTGCTTTTGAACAGTGTGCATCACTCACAATGAGGTCCAACTACTATTGCTATTGCTGATGTAAATGCTCTATTTGTTTTCTAAAGTGAAAGAAAGGAAAAGGCCTAGAAGAGGCCCGTTAGTTTTGGTAATGGAGAAATAAAGCAAGAGGCTCAGATTATGTCATGAGGCTCTCAGTTCTTTTTGCCAAGCCATAGCTACAAATATTCAGAAATTTAGATCGCCCCGACAAGATACCAGCTAGAAAACTCTAATGTCTTCAAACAAAACTTGAGCCATTGGAAGACTAGGCTCACTAAAAGTGTCTAAGGGAGATACTACTCTAACCAAAATTACATACTATTTTCATGTTGAAATGTAATGTCCACTCTACTCAGATGACAAATCATTTGCAGCATATCCACATTGAAGACTCAGATAGACTGAAACTTGTAGATCGAATTTAGGATTAAAAGCGTATGTGCTTGTATTGGTGGGAAAATTTTTGACAACCCTGCATCATGTGTTCCTCGTTTTTTAAAGTGCATTATTTCTCTGAGGTTTTATCACCTAGAACATTTACATCTAAGCACAAATAGCATCTTAAAACATAAGTGGAAGTACTAGAGTAGCTCTCGTAAGTTAGAATGCACTAATTGATTAATCACAAGAATTGTGACAAAAATAGATCCTTTTATTAAATGAATTAAAGAAGTGTTACCCGTATGACAGCCATCCACCAAGCTATGGCCTCTAACTACCTAGTTCAAGCTTATCCCATCAGATCTATTGAGGGTAACCACTCTTCAGGTCCATAGGATCTTCTCAATTCCATATGCATGAAAATAAGGGCATCCATCATCAGTTTACCAAGTCTGGAAGCTGCTTCCGTTGCATATATCTGATGAGTACCCCAAAGCTTCTACCTCTGTGGATGATGCAAGGGTTGCTTTCCTGATTAGCCAATGTTCTGAAAAAAGAACACAACCTAGACCAAGAAACAAAATACTCAATTAACGAAAAGAGAACATACAAGGAACTATCAGGAGATGAGTGAACCAAGTTGTAACTCCCCACGACTCTCAGAAGCACAGAAGTTCAATGCTTTACACAAGATTCTAGAGATTCCTTCTCACCGTTCTAAATAAATGCCTCTTTAACCAGAAGGACGGAAGATTTAAAATCTTTGAAAGCAAAAGAAAATAGCTTTTAGTTACTAGTTCAAAAATTATTTCATATTGGCAATTCCTTATACAGTTCATAATCGTAATAAGTTCAACAAATGCACCTGAAGGAAGACTAGGCAGACATCTGAGGGAGCATTTGATGAAAGTCTCCATCTTAAATACTATAATTCTCCATACTGCACTAATGCCCATTTCTGGAACAATGATACATTGATAATGAGCTCATCTATAATCCTATTCAATATGTTGAGGGCGAAGTCTTGTAACTACCACCAAATCTCAGTAGTTTAGAAATTCAAAGCTTTTATACAAGATCAAAGAGCTTCCCTTTCACCATGATTAAAAGATTACTCGTTCATCATAAAGATAAAACATTTAAAAATCTAGAAAAGCAAAAGAAAACAGCTTTGAGTTACCAGTAAAAAAAAAACTTCACATTAGTAATCCCGTATATAGTTCATGATCGTAATAGGTTTCACAAACGCACCTAATCTTGTCTTTAAAGAGAATAGAGGTTTAAGTTCATATAAACAATGAGTTTAAGAAGATAGGGAATTTTTGCTTTATTAGACATAAATTTGTGTATAAGATGTTGATAATTCCTCATCATAGCAATGGTTATATAACACATAGAACTTTCAAACACGTCATGGCGAGCATTCAAAGAATTCAGTATCCCGGAGTAGTATGGCGGAACAACACCAACATAATTTCTCATTGACAAAGAACACTTAAGAAGGGACCTTACCAAATTACCTCAAACATCATGTTCAATAGTCCAACCATTGCAGCTTTCGGATCCTTCTCATAGTATTCCACCCAATTCATGGTGATGATGTAATGAAGGCCTTCTCCCTTCAACATTAATTCAAAAGGCCTTGTCGATTTAATTGTATGGGAAGTGCATGAGTGATGAATTTCTCCAATTCAAGTTCCTTATTCATGTATTTCTCAACAACAGAAGAAATATCCAAACAAGGCGTGTAGTTTCCAAAGAAGGTTCCTTTGAAATTCATTTCATTTAGAAAGTGCAAAGGTGTGTCTTGAACACAGCTTCCTTATGGGTTACATACCAATACGAACAACCCCTACCAGACCTGAAAATTAATAACGACAATGTTCGTTAAGATTATTATATAAATAATAATATACAATTAAGGAAATTTCATGATAGAAAACATACATCATGGACAATTCAAAATGCTGAAATCATAGTATCAATATGACCAGTACACTTCACAGTCAGATCGAATTTGCAATCAGTCATCTCAGCAATTACCTAATCAAATAATCAAAATTCAAGAAATGATGATCAACTATGACTCACACGTGTCTTTTTTTTCTTTCGCAAAATGATCCATTAGGAGAAGCAGATATTAGTACCTCTTGACCTGGTTTACTTTAATCCTTCGGGTTCACAAACTTTTTCACGCAAAATTTCTTAGCTGTAAAATAAAAGTAAAATGGATGAATTAGTTGCATTGCTATATAAGATAATGGATCGAGAATGTGTAAGGCACAAGTTAATTACCTTACTGAAATCAGCTAGCATTTAAATCGACACAAATTATCCTTGAAGCACTAGCAATTTTTGCTCCGTCTGCAGCCTGACCAAAAGAGATTAGATCATTATTAGTAAGATTAACATATATATGGATTAAAAAACAAAAAAGAACAAGAAGGTTGTTTGCAATGTGAAGAATACTCACAATAAGGCCTACAACTCCTAGTCAAAAAATAGCCACACTTGAATCTTTTGTGGGTTTAGCAACATTCAAAGGTGCTCCAAGACTTTAAAAAACATTTGCAAATAAAGGAATGAACATCCTATCATCAGCATGTGTAAATCATCTCAATAGATAACACAAAAAGGATTCGACAGTGAAAATCTAGTTAGAATCGAGTAAAGAGGAATTCAAGCAAGCAAGCACAACAAAACAAAACTAATTGACTAGTATAGCTTCTGATGGATGGTTCATTCCTTGAATAGGATTTGAGTCACCTTCAATGAGCAGAATTATTTGAAATGACTTTCTTTTGGGACTGGGAAGGCACAACTGAAGTGACTTTTCAAAGAGGATTGAGTTTTCTTATGGAATAATCACAGAAAGGCCTTTTGTTGCTATGCATGTAGCTCCGAAAACGATCAACTTGCTACATGAATTCCCTTCACACATACCTGAGAAGTCACTGGTAGGGAAGAGACATCAAATGGAAAGGTCAAGCAAGCTGATTTCACCATTCCACCATATTGATTTATTTTTAGATCTTGAAAAAACAAGATTCATGAACGATTAGCAAGTGAAGGACCGATCTCTTTGCACCAATACTTTAATACTGTTGCAAGACTGGTAGTAGAGCATGGTTTAGACCAATGTGAAAATACAAATGCCAGATCCATAGTCTTTGGAAATGGAAGGCCCCAGGCCTCATTGAACAAATACACAAAAGAAACCTATTGAAAATGCTCCTAATCCGAACACTTCCTTTGTAGAGCCCATGCAGCAACATACTTACTTAAGCAATTCTTCTTATCCTAATTTATTCTTAGTTAAAGTTCCTATATTCTCTTAGTTGAAAAGAGAATACACCTAACCTTGGGAACTGCATCAGCAGCTAATACGTTAAGCTACAAAAATACATTGTAAAGAGAGCAATAAAATGGTACAATCCTCAACTTCAAAAAAAATACACGAAGGCTGAAACAGAAGAAAGACTTTAAGATATCTGCTGGTCTTCTTCCACATAAATCCCAATAAAAATAAATGTGCCCAAATGTGAAGTGTAGCATGCTACTTCCGTTCTATTTCAATCTCTTTTTAGGAAAATCAAGAAACGGATTATAGATGAATGTTTCAAACAACTGTACATAACTCTATATTAAAAAATGAATGTTTCATCTAACTCTATCCATGACTTACTATTAAAATTGAGCAAAGAAATCAAGAAAAAGGACTATTATTCAAATAAAAACAACATCCACGCTATCTCATCTTTTCACCAAAGAGCTTTAAATATGCCATCAGAAAAACATACACAACTCCATCAATAGATACTAATTTACCAGCAAGTGAGCTTAAGGACAATAGAGCATAACTTCACCTTTTGGTGAGTGTCTTTAATAGTTCGTTAACAGTTTCATCATCATCCTTCTTCCTCCAATGGTAACCATTGTATGCGAAGTTAAAGTGCTAGGCCTGCCCGAGATCGATCTCTTCCGAGGGAGCAGGTCAACTTAGCTGACTGGGCAATGAATTTGCAGGAGAAAAGACAACTGGAACATATCATATATCCCGACATTCTGGGCTAAGTAAGACCAGATCCTTCAGCAACTTTGGATAAACGCAGTGAAATACTTAGCTGAATCTGGTGCACAGGCCATCTATGGGTGAGGTGCTATGGAATTTTGAGAATGCACTTCTTCTCCAAGAGCCCGTCATTCAAGAAAATACTACCATCCCTATTGGCGAGCTATCACGGCAAATATGCAAATGTGTGTTAAGAAGTTGAATTCCAATAACCTAAACAGTAAGCGAAAGAAGTGGAGTGTTGGCAAAACTACAGAAAAAAAGAAGTTTTCAAACTACAGTATACCCACCCTATCATCAAAACTTCTGGAGTTCGCGAAAGTCTCTGTGAGATCTTTTTTTTTTTGATAACCGAGAAATCCGCCTGTGGCCCACCCTTTGGACCAATCATAGCCTTCTAAACTCAATGGATAATGGACCCGTTCCTCTACCCTTCTCCACTTAAATATCGGGCTCAAATCCATCCCCTTTTTCCACTCGAGCTAAGCCTTGGAGGCAGTCTGTGCAAGATCATTATGCAAGATTTCGATGGAAATTCGCCTTGACAATTGAAGATCATTCAACCTAATCAAGTTTACAAGCAGTGAATATTCAGCATCACCATCCTGCAACAACAAAAATTGCACATTTAACAAAAATGCATTCAATTTGTTGAGGTGCTACAACAACTTCTTTTATTGCAGATTTAATAATAGTTGTTAGGTAGAGGTGCTTTTCTTCTAGTATAGAAGAGCTAACCTTGAAGATGCTAAAATTTCTCAAATTGAAAACATCAGGTGGAAAAATTTCGTGAGAACATATGCATCAATATCTTCAAAACCGAAAAATGTGGAAAAACTAACCAAGTTAAGAAGTGTAGCAAGAATTTCAGGTGGGATATTTGGAGAAGAAAGTGTCATTTCTAAACTCCGTACTAGGCTCACTATGTTGTGACCAGTAACTAACAAAACCTGCAGCAAACAGCTCTCCCCCAACAAAAAGGCGGCAAACATTCAACATTAGAAAAAAGTAAGACAACTAGAAGCGCTTACTTTTTTTTAGAAAGTCTTTAAGCTATTGTTTCTTTTTCTAACGAACAATGAAACAGAGGTTTTGTATTTTTTATTTTTTTGAGATTAAGGTATCCTGATAAGTATGAGGATGTTGAAGAGGTAATACCTGTAGTTGAGCCAGTGTTGTACATGTTCTTATTGCTGGACTAGGTGATTCTTTCAAAAGTTCAATGTTGAAATGCCTATCCACTCTGCCCAATTATCTTTAGTACTCTGTTGATAAGCCTCACTTGCAGTACACAATCTGCTGCAATCATTGACCTACACAAAAATTATCTTATCAAGAACAAATTTATTATACGCATTTATATTGTCATAGTAGTGATAGGGAGAACCCAAAAAATCAATGCAGACCTGCAACCTATGTTTAACCATAATCTTAAGAATAGAAGGAATAAAAATGGTGAAGTCCTCTACAAGAGCATGAACTAGGCAACAAAGTGCAACAATAGCATCTTTCCTGAGCTCTTCTTCATTCCTGTGTATGGAAGGGAGCACCCACAATTTAACAACATAAACTCAAAGAAAGTATTGCAGAAATTACATAGTACGAAGCCTTTATCACGTTCAATAACTTACAATTCAGACTGCTTAAGTATTAAAATAGAAAGGATTAGGTCGAAAACGACAAGCTAAAATCCCATGAGTACTCGAAAACAGGAATAGTAAAATCGTCTTGGAATTGTTCATGACATAAGGAAAGGAATTGCATTCAAAATGAAGTTTGGACAGACATGAGAAAAAATCTTGCAATGTTGACTGAAATTGAAACACTAATTTAATGATTTTAAACTTTAATGTTTGATTCAGAATTTTCCAGCAATTTGTGTCAAGTTAGTGGATGACCTTCAGTAAAAGGAAGCAGAAGCTGCAATTAGTATACACTCCAAGGCAATAAATCAAAGTTCAAGGTTCACTTCTATATAAATGTGTCTGAGTGTAGATACATATGGGTCAGAATTTGATATCTGAGAGTGTACTCACTAGAGCCAACATCAAAACTGACAAAAAGTAGATCTTGTCATTTCATTTGTTATCTATTGATTTGAAGAAAATGATTCTCATATATTCTGAGTGATATTAATGTGAAAGAGAAAAATCAGACCCTCCAAGAGAAGCTTCAAGTGATGCACAAGCGAATATAAGAAAACAAACAATCAAATGGAAACAATGACACTTACAAACATTCCCTTTAGTCCCTTATACACCAACATGAAAACAAGGTATCAATCTTGTAAGAGTTTTGGTTGCACCATGTCTTACTTTTACTGAAGCGTCCACTTTAGAAAGCCAAAATATGTGCAGAAAGAAGAAGATGCATATGCTTATCTAATGTCCCAACACCTTAGGGCCTAAATATTAAACCATATATCATACACCTTAAACCTTAGAGCCTAAACCCTAAACCATGTGGCCTAAACCATAAACAACGTCTTACTTCTACTGAAGCATCCACTTTAAAAAGCCAAAATAAGTGTAGAAAAAAAGAAGATGCATATGCTCATCTAATGTCCCTACACCTTAGGGCCTAAATACTAAATTATATATCATTAACCTTAAACCTTAGAGACTAAACCCTAAACCATGTGCCTAAACCATAAACCTTAGGGTCTAAACCCAAAAATCTAAATCTTAAGCCTAATCCTTAAACCCTAAACCTTACTGCTAAAACCCATAACCCAAAACCCAAACCCAAACCCAAACCCAAACCCAAACCTAAACATAACTGTAGGGGCTCAAATCTTAACTGTAACCTCTAAACCCTAACCCTTAAGTCCTAAAATCTATCCCTAAACTCTAAATCCTAAGTCTTAGATCAAAGTCTAAACCTTTGGGCCTCAACCCTAAACACTGAACCATATACCCTAATGCCTAAACCATAAATCTTAAAACATAAGCCCAATACCTTAGGGTTTAAACCCTTAACCCTACACTTTAGTTCCTAAGCCCTAAACCTTAAAGCCTAAACCCTAAACCCTAAACCCTAAACCCTAAACCTTAGGGCCTAAACTTTATATCTTAAAGTTAAGGGCCTAAACCCTAAAACCTTAGGGCCTAAATCATAAATAATAAACCTCAAACCCTACACCCTAGGGCCTAAACCCTAATCTCTGAAACCCTAAACCTTAGGGTCTAAACCCCAAAACCCCAGACCTTAAATCCAAAAGCATTGGGTAAAACCCTAAACCTTATGGCATAAACCCTAAACACTAAACTCTAAACCTCAAGGCCTAGACCCTAAGATAAAAACACTAAATCCTAAACTCTAAACCATAAATCATAGGTCGTAGACCCTAAACCCTGAATCCAAACCCCCAATCCTTAGTGCCTAAACTCTAAACCTTAGTGCCTACACCCTAATTAAGCTTCTTCTTGATCATTCACAGGTAGCATATCTTTATCCAATTCATCTTCATAGTGAACCACTTTGTAGCCTAATACAGGATCGTGGGAATTATCAGTAGTCTTAGGCAAAAGTTAGGATTCATATAGACATTACAAAAGAAAGACCACATCATGTTTGGATGGGAAGATGGCAAGCCATCCAATATGAGGTACTACTAGAGTATTATTCTTATTGCAAACACTAAGGTCACATATCACAACTTTGTAATATAGAGAGAAGAGACGAGGAATACAAGAAGAGAAAAGAACCTGAAGCTGCAAATAAAATCAAGGGCAAGAAGACGCAGATGCCAGCAATCAGGTAATTCCCCAAACTTCTCCTCAACAGATTAATGCTAATATGACTACTAGTGTTTCAGGTGTTGATAATACCCAAAACAAATACAAGAAACACAACCTGAGATGGACAAACAACAAATGGATGAGTGGAAAACTCAAAAAAGGAAAAATAACAAGGGTCAACAAGGCCATGGTCAGCAAAATAACTTCTATTAAACCAATGAACAACCTAAATTTGCAGGATAATAATTTTGAAAAGCAGCAGGTGGAGAAGTCAGGTATTGACTTAACCCTCCCACAACCCCCAATTCCCTAATTAAAGTGGATCAAATAGGTCCATGTGATGGTAATCGAAAGCTCAAAATAAACAGAGCAAGATAACAAAATAACCCCAGGTATTGATTCAATGCTCCCAAACTCCATGAACCCCCTGATAACAGTTTTCTATTGTTGGTTGTTTATGAAGTTATGGGAGGTAAGGTGGATCGGATCAAGGAGAAACCTACTAAATTGAAGGACAGGAAAACCAAAGGGAGGAATTTATCCCATGCTTTGCGGGACCCTTATGAATGTTTAGATGATGGACACTAGAGCCCCTGCTCGAACTACTAATTTTGAACAAATTCAGAATATTACTGCTTACATCAGTATTTCAGAAGGTGATCACAGTGTGGTATCTCAATTTAGGCAGAAAGGTTCACAAAGGAAGAACTTAATGAGCTTTAGATGATGGTAAATTCTCAGAAAATGGTTGAGAGCACTGAGGGAAACCAGGTACAAAATCAAAGGTTAAAAGGTTCTACCAAGACACAACTTGAAACTAAAAAAATAGAGCTTCATAAGGAAGATCAGCTAAGAAGTGAGGTTGTCACTTGTATTCAGTCACTCAATCTATGGAACCAAATAACAGTATTCAAACAGGGAATCAGGAAATTGACAAACTTCAGCACCCTCAATACAATGATCCTAGTGAAAAGCCAGGAGGTAAACCTGTAAATAATAACACTCCTACCAAGAACAAGGATGGACAAACTACTAAACCTCTTGATAATAAGTATCAATCCCAACTCAATAAAAAGAAAAGAGATACAACAAAGAGAAGAAAAGAGGAGAGGCTGCACAACATCAATCAATGAAAAAATTTATCCTAGTAAATGAGCAGGCTGGTTTAAATGTAAACTCCTCTCCAAACTAAGGAATCCTCTCCCAATATTAGATTCTCTATTTTCTCTCAATACCATTCATAAAAAAGCTCCAGACAGTAGTTGTTATTATGATGTTCTGCACTCCGAGGACGAATTGATCAATACACTCGACCATAGAAGAGGATGATTAATTAAGACAATGTTCATTAAGATTATTTTATAAATAATAATATACAATCAAGGAAATTTAATGATAGAAAACGTACATCAATATGGCCAGTACACTTCACACTCAGATTGAATTTGCAATCAGTCATCTCACCAATTACCTAATCAAATAATCAAAATTCAAGAAAAGATGATCAACTATGACTCACACCTGTCTTTTTCTTCTTTCGAAAAATGATTTATTAGGAGAAGCAGATATTAGTACCTCTTGACCTGGTTTACTTTAATCCTTCGGGTTCATAAACTTTTTCACGCAAAATTTCTTAGCTGTAAAATAAAAGTAAAATGGATGAATTAGTTGCTTTGCTATATAAGATAATGGACTGAGAATGTGTAAGGCACAAATTAATTACCTTACTGAAATCAGCTAGCATTTAAATCGACGCAAATTATCCTTGAAGCACTAGCAATTTTTGCTCCGTCTGCAGCCTGGCCAAAAGAGATTAGATCATTATAAGTAAGATTAACATATATATGGATTAAAAAACAAAACAGAACAAGAAGGTTATTTGCAATGTGAAGAATACTCACAATAAAGCCTACAACTCCTAGTCAAAAAATAGCAACTTGAATCTTTTGTGGGTTTAGCAACATTCAAAGGTGCTCCAAGACTTTCAAAAAAATCTGCAAATAAAGGAATGAACATCCATCCTATCATCAGCATGTGTAAATCATCTCAATAGATATACACAAAAAGGATTCAATAGTGAAAATCTAATTAGAATCGAGTAAAGAGGAATTCAAGCAAGCAAGCACAACAAAACAAAACTAAACTGACTAGTATAGCTTCTGATGGATGGTACATTC